AACGCCAAATTTATGTATTGTTGTGATGCAGTTTAAACAGGCAGTTGAAGTTATTTTGGACCAAGCATGGGTACTTCAAGACAATAGTTAAGACTCTTGCATAGTGTGTATTGTGTAACACATAGCATCATAACAGGTTTCTGTTTTTAATAATAATTAATTGTTTTTTATAATTTGAGATATAATCAACAGAATGTCTGTTTTACCTTTGGCAGCCAGCAGTATTAAAAAAGTAGGACCTTTTGACTTAAGGCAGCACAGGTCACTGTGGTTAGCACTGTTGCTGCACCGCAAGAAGGTCCTGAGTTCAATTCCACCATCAGGCCAGGGTGTACCCTGCCTCTCGCCATATGACGGCTGGAATAGGCTCCAGCGCGACCCTAAAAAAGGATAAGTGGAATCGAATGATTGGATGGACCTTCTGATTGAATTTACTACCATATAGTTTTTAAGTGGTATAAAATCATTCAGTATAGCCATGTCTTTTTCTTTTTGTGTTTCTTTTTTTTATTGATTACAATAGTCTACAAAAATGTGTCCCATTATAGAAACATAGCTACCATCTGGGGATCGGTCACTTGATATAAGTGATATGTCTGTTTGTTTCAGAGGGCTCTCCACTCAGCTGGTGGGTAGGAGGCCCAGGTGTGGGACAAATGCACACTCACTGGGGCGGAGCTCCACCAGGGAGCCAGCAATGTGCCTGCAGTCTGCAGAATAACTGTGTGGACTCCAGATATCACTGCAACTGTGATGCTGACAGCAATGAATGGTACTGTATATCATAATACTCATATCAAAACAATTATAGTGTGACGTGTTCCACTATAAAAATAGCTCATAGCCTCACTGCATTTATAAGTTACCAAATTTGCTGCCAGTGCAGCAGATTTTTGCAAGTAGGTGTGGCAGCTGCAAGAGCATAAATCAACATATTGTCGTATTATCCTTTACAGTGAATGATATTTTATGCGAAAGGTAGATATGTCTTTCCCTCCTCTAGTTTGGAGTTTGTTTTTAATAAAAAATTCTGCTCCTTATTTTTTAGGACTAATGACTCAGGCCTGTTGACCCATAAGGAGACGCTCCCGGTTAGATCTCTGGTGTTGGGTGATATCCAGAGGCCTGGCTCCGAAAGCACCTACAAGGTGGGACCTCTCCGTTGTCATGGAGACAGTAAGTCGAAATCAGAGTGCCAATGTCAGTTTGTCACTTTGTACGTGTTTTTAAAATGATGCAGGTGTGTCATGTCAGAGTTGTAAACTCATTCCTGAACCCTGCTTCATGTTTTAAATGCTTTCATGCATTTTGCAGAAAATGTTTGGAACGCTGCATTTTTTGACAAGGAGACATCATACCTCCACTTTCCTACATTACACGGAGAGCTGAGTGCCGACATCTCCTTCCTGTTTAAAACCACTTCATCATCTGGTGTCTTCCTGGAAAACCTGGGCATCAAAGACTTCATTCGGATTGAACTCAACTGTGAGTAAAACCTCTCTGGTGAGATGTCTAATCTAGACTTCACTTAGATGTGAGTACAAACTGAGCAGGAAGGAGAGTCCTCCGAGTTAAAGTTTCATGCGGTTTTAACTCAGCCGGAGGTGATGATGTCCATCAACCCTTCAAAAGAAATGCTTCACTGCAGCACTGGCATTTATTTCTCCTCCTCTGGGAAATCACAGAATTGTTGTTTTTGATGTTGTTGTTGCAGCCAGCTGCATTGCTTTTATAACCACCAGAGCGTGTAGCTCTCTATCACTCTACTTAAAACACTTCATAGCAGTGCTGACCTGAACTACCATGTAAAAGAAACATTTGACCCACCTGCAGTCATTTATATCTGCTGGTGGAAGTCCACACACACATCCCTGCAGAGCAGACATTATGACATTATTTTCTGGAGGGATTTTCACGCATATTTTGCACCACATCTCTGTTCATCATTTGTTTGAAGGCAGCTCACCTCCTGCAACCACTTTTCCGAGAATACGCACTTCTTTCGCGGTTCGGACTCCTTCTGAAATTTCTTCGGAGGTGGAGGAACACTAAAGAAATTGCTTAAAGGAGCCTGCTTCTTCAACTTTTTTAAAATTTCTAAACAAATGTCTGTCTTGCTCCAGAAAAAAAATCGTATGTACGTAAACGCGTGTTGCAACTTCTTATCTGGTGCGCGTTTTTTATTTTGACAGTGCATGCGCACCTGCGGACCACTTATGCGTACCCCTGAATATGACAACAGACTAGTCTAGCATAGTATTAAAAAAGAGATGCTGGCATGGTCTGTGTGTCAGTTTATGTGAACTTGCACTGAGATCATATGATGTGCAGCTGTAGATCAGGAGGCAGTGCAGCCTGAACAGTAATCAGAAAGAGTGTGGTTTGATCATGGGTCTCATGCTCGAAGTATCTCCAGGCAAACTACTGAACCACCAGCGTATTGATTGTGTGTGTAGTGTTATTGATAAAGTATACAGAATAAAGTGGTGTATGCAATGTATACTTGAATTGCCTTGTACAGTAAAAAGTGCTTTGAGTGGTGAGTAAGACTACAAAGGAGCTGTATAAATGCAAGTCTATATAAGTCTATTTACTATTGTAGTTCAAACACTGACGTGTGTGCTATTGTTGCTTTCCTCTTTGTTCCTCTCTTGATGAGGTGCTTCACTTCATGTGATTGCAAAAGAAAACTAATCTACCGCTGTAGCTGGTTTTACCTTAACCCTCTCAGGCTCAAATTAAACTTTTTGTTGCTAATGCACAACCAAGTCCTGCAGTGGTACTTCTGAGTAAAAAAAACTCATAAAATATGTATGTGGGGTAATCAGGTTGTTAGTTTTTAACTGTTGCAAATCTGCAACGCCTGCCATGAGAGGGTTAAAAAGAAGAACATGTAAGTATATATGTTAAAGGCTAGCTATCAGATCTGACACTTGATTCAGTGCTTTATCAGTATTTGTGCTGTAAAGCTACAACTGTTGCACTGTAAGCAAGACAGTATCTGCAGTGTGGAGGTACTGTTACTTTCTTTCCTTTTTTATATTCTCTTATTTTATTCGTTTCATTTTTTTCCAGACTAAGCAGCTAGTTCAACATGCCACATATTTCAGTTAGGATAATTAGAGCTTGAGTAATAAAAATGATGAAGGCAACAAAGCAAAAAAGGAGAGCCGGTCCTGCTGAAGATAGAAAACAGGAAGAGGGAGAGCTAGCATTGAACTGAGATGTGGAATGCTGCTCTCTGAACATCCAGAAAAGGGATTAGAGACTAACGGGCTAATAGCAGGTGGATGAGGAGGTTATTTGGCCAGGGGAATGATGACAGAATTAAGAACAAACTGAGTTTGGTAGCATGGGAACTCAGAAGTGAGGAAAAGAAGAGAAAAGAATAAGGATCTTTTCAAATATCCTCTTTCCTACTTTCCTACCTGCCTGACGTTCCTTAAAAGCAAACCCTGAAGAGAATTTTAAAATGGCAAACATTTACAGCATATATATTTTTGACATAATTTCTACTTCTGTGAACACCATGAATTCCTTGTACAAGACTGATTCTTTTACTACTTAAGTGATATATTTCTTCATATTACTTAGGCAGTAAAAGAACTTCCCCAGGATGAGGCTCGTCCTGAGTTCCTAAAGGCTCTGGATGCTGGAGCTGCATCTTGGTTGATGCAGCTCTTCAATGCTGCATCAAGGTCAGTTGCGGTACCTCTGGATTGGCAGACCAGGATGGTGGAGACCGAAGGGTGTGTTCCAACTATATGGGAATCACAGGCTCAACCTCCCCAGGAAAGTCTGTGGCAGGTTGCTGGAAAAGAGAGTCCATCTGTTTATCGAACATCAGATTCAGGAGTTGTCGTCCAAGGTTGCAGAACACTGGACCAGCTCTTTACCCTCTCAGGGAAATTTGAGGGTGCATGGGACGTACTTCTGGAGTATGGGGTGTCTGCCACATTCTTTGCAAGAGCTTGGCCCACATAGCTAGCAATAATTCAGACTCATTCTGGTGGGTGTGGACTCCACCAGGGCTGCCCTGGGTGCTGGCCTCTCCCTTAGAGATAGGGTGAGGAGTTCAGTCATCCTGGAGGGGCTCAGAGTAGCCGCTCCACATTGAAAGGAGCCAGTTGAGGTGGTTCGGGCATCTGACAAGGATGCCTCCTGGGCGCCTCCCGGGTGAGGCATTTCCCACCTGGAGGAGGCCCCGAGGCAGACCCAGGACACGCTGGACAGATTATATCTCTTGGCTGGCCTGGAAACACCTTGGTGTTTCCCCAGACAAGCTGGAGGAGGTGGTCAGGGAGAGTGAGGTCTGGGCTTCTCCATTTAGGCTGCTGCCCCTGTGAAGCAGAAGAAGATGGATGGACATTGACTCTACATCAATAGCTAGCTTGTTTCTGTGAAAACAAACTAGTGTTTTATCTTCGTAGCTGGTTGTCACAACTACAGTACTTCATTTTTATCTTCCAAAGTTGTCAGCAGTTTTATGTGACATGCTGACGAGCTGCTTGGTGTCAGGTTGTGTTTGCATCACTTAGGTGATACATTACTTCAGCCTGAAAGTGTTTTTTCTCGTCAGAGTTCCAGTGGTGCTCGTGTGTCAGCTGCCTCTGTTCCTCATCTTTCTTCCACAGATGATGTGCTGTAGTTCTTACAGAGAATGAGGACTTCAGAGCGAGCATGCTGACAAGTAAAAGCTGAAAGCAAGAAAGAGTTTAGCAAGATAAAAGATCCTTTGTGGTTCCACTATAAAACAACACAAAGTTTCTGGTGTTCAAAACAAAGGAACATGCTGTACTGGTAATAATTCCTGGCATGCAAACAACTTGATGTGATCAGATTTGCCTATGAAAATGTTGCTCTGTGTCCTTTCTTTCTATTTTCTGGGGGAAAATAAATAAATATGACAGACAGATGACAAATTAAAGGACATTGCAGTGAGTGGATGCAGTGGCTCTGTGTAGCTGTGGATAGTGTTTTACTTGCATGGCTTGTGTCTACCTGTCTCTTCAGTTTGAAAGCTTATTGTAAATCAATACAAAATGGCTTGATCACCTTTAACCTATTTGAGTCAGAGACACCGCCTGCCACCAGGCAAGGCAGGAAACTGCAGTGGGCTGCCAAACTTTAAGCTTTAGCAGTGGCAATGCTCAAAATTTGCAGTGACAGTGGGAGAGACCTGACTTGACCTGGCCGTGCCTGACTCAACTCATACTGCTTACCGACTGAATGCAATCTTTGAGCCTGAGGGACATACTGTAATAAACATCATTTGCACAAATCATGGCCCCCAACCAATATTCACAATGTTTTTAGATGGTGTCAAAATAGTTATAACATAACTATGATGAATGCTGGTTGTAGAGGCCTCCTGTGAATTGCTGCCTGGCGCCTCAACCGACTCTAGAATTACCACTGAACAAAGCGGTCTCCTCCAAGGTGGAAATGCTCCCATCCATATGATGTTAGAAAATGATTTGAGTCATATGCTATGGTCTTTGCAGTCATCAGAACTCAAGTCACCTGAAAGTCTATTTGAGTTTCTGCAGAGAATCAATACCAAGATGCAGTGAAGGTCTTCTTTTGGCAAGGTAATAGCTCAATACATTAATAGGATAATATTTTTTCCTTTACAATTGTTACCCACCATTAATTAGTTAGAGGTTAGACAAACAAAAGCTCACTCAGTTAAATCATGCAAATAATGAGCACATCTTTGTGTGTGAGCTGCCCTGTGTGCAGGGCAACAAGTACCAAAAAAGCTGCAGGAAGGTACAGGAGACACAAAAGGTGCTTCTTACATGTTCTAAAATAAGTCTTATTTTTCTTTCCTCTCTGATGCAGCCTCCAATGAGGTCCTCTTCTCCTTTGACGTGGGTAATGGGCCATTGGAGGTTTCGGTGAAAGCTGGATCACCGCTGAATGACAACAGGTGGCATCGTATTCAAGCCGAGCGAAACGTTAAAGAGGCATCGCTTCGCCTCGACGAGCTTCCTGCTGTCACGCAGGAGGCGCCGGCTGATGGGCACATCCACCTGCAGCTGAACAGCCAGTTATTTATAGGTGTGCAATCAAGTCAAAGCTGCTTTTTTTGAGGTCCCAACAAAAACAATACGACATTTTTACTCATGTAATTATTATTAGAGATTAAGATTTCTTTCATTTCAGCCCAGGCTTGTTGTCGAAGCTGTCAGATTTCTCCTTTTATTGCTTAAACCTTTTCAAATAGTCTGTTTTCTGCTCGCTCTTTGTTTCGTTGTGCTTTGCTTTCACTGCGTCCCTTATTTTTACACACAAAACCGCTCTGTGCTCATGGGGTACATTTTCATTGACCCCCTGGGAGGTTGGTGGATTTGCATTCTCGTCACAGAATATATAATCTTCCACGACTCCACACTTCCCTCATAGTGCACAAAGAACATATTGCATTGTCTGCTTATTGATCCGCATTGATGCTGACAGGTTTAAACAAGTCCACAGTAAAGCAGTTCTTGTTTCTAAACCTTACTTCGATATAAGCTTAATGGACTTAAGAGAAAATCCCCACAAAGTGATAGAAATTCCCTGGGGATGTGTAGAAAAAAGTCACATTTTTGTGGTCAGTGTCCTTGCAGTAACCTTGGTAGAGTGTTTGAACTCAGTCCATTAGTTAAGGTAGTCATTTCCTGACAGGTCCTGATGAAACTCTTGGCCCTGATACGAACCTCATCAACTCTGCAGCCATGGGAAACTGTTTATCTCATCATAACAGTCTTGAGATTGCCAGTTTGGCAGTCTGAGACAATTATAATGTTGCAGAGCGTGAACTCTGAGGACAGCTGGAGGTTGTGATGCGAAAACTCAGAAAACAATAACTTTTTGAGTTTAAATTCTGACCTGGAAGGAAAAAAAAATATTTTCCTGTCACTGTCAGCCAACCAGACAGGACAAGCAGACTGTCAGAGCGACTGGCAGGTCGCTAACTTTCTAGATAACAACAATCAGCTTGGTGCTGGGTGAGCAGAGCCACAGCCGGTGAAATGTCAATTTTTGGAATTTTTCACCTGCCAGTTTGGGTTTCACTGTGCTTCATTTTAAAAATTCAGTATGAAACCGATGACAGGCCTTTTTTTTTTCTTGGAGGTGCAGAGTATGTTCTGCCATTAATAATAGAATCAGATCAGTCAGTTTTGCTTCAGAATTTGATAACACACAGATTGTTTGTCATTCATGCGTGTCTGTACAGTATGAATGCATAAAAATCATATAGGTAGTGTTTCAGATTAAGATAAATTACATCTAAAAAGATAAAGCACTGCAAATATGTCTCCTAAGTTGCATTGTCCTGCAGCACTTTTATTTCACTGTGAATGATAAATATAGAAAAATAAACTGGTTAAAATAGAGTTACATTCATGACTTTGTTAGTTCCAATTATCAAAATGTTGCATCTCTTTTTCACCTATTCATCAGGTAAATCCTAGACAACCTAAGACAAGGTGGCTAAAAATGTTCCCACAGACTGCCACAGTTAGAAAAGCTGTTTTCTTTTTTAAATTAGCAATAGATACATCAGCTTTCAAGAAGGGAACCTTTCCGCATGTGCAAGAACAATATTTGCTAGATTAGTTTTATGGCAACTGTTTCTCAAATGCAAGGATTTGTGATTTATGCCACTGTATTTAAATATATTTTGGGTCTTGGACAAACCTGCAATTTTTAACTTGTTCTCCAGGCAACTGTTAAATGTTTAAACATCACTGGGATTATATTATTTCACATTGTATCTATTTTGGTGGTTTGCACAGAAACATAAGTAGAATAAAATAGACAACAGAGACAATTCATTACAGTGTATGCTTTTTTTTTTTCTGTGTGTCTCCTGTGTGTTCAGGAGGCACAGCTTCAAGGCAGAAGGGCTTTCGAGGTTGCATCCGCTCTCTGCAGTTGAATGGCGTCACTCTGGACCTGGAGGAGAGAGCAAAGATCACCCCTGGGGTTCAGGCAGGATGCCCAGGTCATTGTAGCAGCTACGGCTCGCTGTGCCAAAATCAGGGTCGCTGTGTGGAGAGACCCACCAGCTTCTCCTGCGACTGCAGCTCATCCGCTTACACTGGACCTTTTTGCAACAAAGGTACAGAGACTTGGTCTTCAAGCTCAAAGATGCACAATGTCAAATTGAAACTTACATTAAAAATCACTTAAAAGCTTAAATTTGGGGTTTAATAATGTGTAGCCTTGGGTCACTTTAGCAGTAGTGCAGTTCTTGTTCTTGTTCTTCCTCTATCAAAAGTCACATAATCCAAATTAACACAAGAACCTGAAGTATGAGTGTATCCTTTGAAATTTTTAAAAACCCAGTCAGCATCCCTTGAGCAACTGTAGTTGCTGACCTCCAACACAACCACCTTCATATGCGCTACAGTGCAGCACCTGGATGGCCTATAAATAAAACACATATACAGCAATGTCATATATAAGTGAGGTCACACCCAGCTGTGCTGGGGCACACTCCGCATACTCTACTGTAGATACTCAAGGATTAGCTAAAAGGTTTGGTTTGTACATGTAGATGTACGGCGACCAGTGCTGGAGACCAAAGTACAACCAAAAGTATTGCTATGATGCGCAACAAACGTGTGCTGTTTTTGCCTTTGAAATAGTAGTTTTAAAGATAAAGATTAAGAGATGCATCATAGACAAGTTGCACTTATCAACACTACTGTAATTGATTGTGACATGTTGGCCTTTCTGTTTGTATTTATGAATTAGACAGGAATTATATGCTAACCTTTAGCAATCCGTTTGAGAGTGATTGCAATCCGTCCAAGCTGGACAGCAATAGGAGACAGGTTGCCTCTCAATCAAAAGCCAATCAAAAGTGGTCACCCAGAGGCTGTGTCACATGCCCTACCTTCGGGTTAACTATTTGCAACTACTTGTAATCAGTTTACTCAAGTAAAACTTATTTATAAAACACAAACAAGGTCATAAAGTGCCTAAAATCAAGAGAAAATATAAATAAATAAAACAAATAATTGAACAACACTGTTAGAACATAAAAGATACAAGCTTACCAGCTACCTTTTCTATCACCTTAAAGCTACCAGTTTTTCCTAGTCTTTAGCAGGTTGCTGTCCTATTTTTGGTTTAGTGTGACTGACACATAGTGTACTATCACTGTGTCTTCATTCTGAAAGGCAAAACTAAGTTTTAAAATCTACTCAAATCCTTTTTAAACTATGATGGAAAAGGATCAGTACCGCTGCTGACCAACACTGCTGCATGCAGGTGTATTTGATGTGGCATCTGCCGTCAAATCGAAGCCAAAATGCTTC